AGTCACCATTTTTAATTAATTTCTTTCAACAGTATAAATAATGTAGAGATTATTTTATTATTATGGCTTGTATTGTGCTTGGAAGAAATTGGTGGGGTTGGGGAGTTGATGCAGAATATACTATTGAACGCGATGAGGCTGGAGATTCAAACACGCTGATATTTTCAGAGGACGCGAAATATCAATAAAGGTTGCTTTCTCTCCGAAGCTGGGTGACTCTGATTGCCAGCGGACAGTCCTGTGGAAGGAGAAAAAAGAAAAAGAAGAGAAGAATAAGAGGACTGGAGAAGGCGTGTGGACGCTTGAATTTTAGTTGTCCATCGTCATCATATCGTTGTCCGTCTGGACGGCATCTCTTACAATTTACTAGGCCTTGCTGAGAAAGGGTTGTTGAAGTTCTTAATATTTGGATTTTCCATTTAAAGAGGCGCACACATTCATGGTCTCCTCTACTTTTATTGAACATAATGATGCGAATCGGGCTTTAACGAGTTCAAATATGCATTGTTGAAAGTGAATTGAATTTTAACATGCCTTCTTTTTTTTTCTTGCATATATATATATATATATATATTAAAGTATCTTTTAAATCGTATTTCTTTAACACCTATTAGATGAACTCAAATAAGAAATAAATTTTGGAATAAGTTCTGCCTTGCCATCACCTTGAAGGAAAATTCGTCAATTCCAAAGTTTTATTGGGTGTGAGAATATGTTTCTATTTTATTCATCAAACTTACGGCGATAGGCTTAGGGACACTTCCTTCGCTGGGTTCCTATAAATATCTGGAACTGCGGGGTCCGGTAGAAAGCCACGTAAGCACTCATTCTTACAATGCTGGCAACGTCATCCTTTACTTTCCAGTCCTATAAACGGAAAACCCCAAACCCCCACACCACCAAAGACCTCTCATCCGGAGTCTAGGGACTGTGGTCACTCTCACAGAGTGAAAAGAAAAAGGATAAGAAGGCGATCGTACTGTGAGGTTCGTCTTCTTTCAAAAAAATCTTAATTTGTCGTTGAATATCTGCATTTTATGCAAACATATGCAAACGAAATTTACTCCATAATTTTGAATTTCAATAATTCGGTGAAACATGATTTTGTTGAATGTTGTACACTGCCTTTTTTTTTTTTGGTTTAAACCTGTAATATTTTTTTGTTATTTTTTAAGTTTAAACCCGTAATTGTTATATGCTTCTGCAAAATCATACCCAAGAAGATTCTCTGAGGTTTTGTGGCCACTACAGGCCATCATGTAAGTAAGGAAATTAATTGTAAATTGCTTCAGTTATCCCAATTACTGCTGAAAGTTGTATTGTCTGCACCATAACCTTGCTTTTCCGGAGGCGGAAAACTGTCCTGATTATGCAGTTAACGTGTGTATTATTGGTAATTGTAGTCAACTAATTACTGTCTTCATCCATTTTTACTTATTTATATATTTGTGTTGTCCACTATTAGCCTGTTCAGAGAAATGGCTTCAGTGCAAGCTACTTTGACACCAGCTGCATGCAAGAATGGGAACTATTCTTCCCCGATGAAGTTCTCGAATAGCTCCTTCTTGCCTGGGTTTGATGTGACCGGACAAATTACTGGAATAAGGAAGAAGGATTCATGGTCGACCCATCTGTCTGGCGTTAGAGCCACTTTAACATTTGATCACCCTACAACCAATAAGGAGAACTCCAAGCAAAGGAAGCACACTGTGGATCCCAATGCTCCTGATTTCCTCCCTCTCCCATCCTTCGAAGAATGCTTCCCGAGGAGCTCCAAGGAATACACGTGAGTGTTTTGCAAATTCTATGGTATTTGTCAGTGGTCATGATTTTCATATTGCTCTGATTTTGAGATATATTTCTTTCATGCATGTTCAAACTTGTAGGGAGATGACTTGCTAATTTGCATTCAATGTCGTCTGTGTATGTGTAATAATGTTTACAATTGACGGTGCAATAAGTATACTTCACAGGGAGGTTATTCATGGACAATCTGGAAATGTACTTAAAGTTCCTTTTCGACGTATCCACCTATCAGGGGATGAACCTCATTTTGATGCTTATGACACCAGTGGCCCCCAAGATATTAACCCCCACAGTGGTAAGGTTATCTGTTACTACTCTTTTCAAGGAATCTTGTTGCTACGCTGCAGCAAAAAGGAGAATGACATATTTTTAAGTGTTTTGTCCTTTTGGTAACGTACGTTACTTTTGTCTTCTTGATTGGCCAAGATATCATAGTATCAATTAACCATACATGTGTAAACGGTACTGGTGATCAGGTCTTCCCAAACTGCGCAAGGACTGGGTTGATAGGAGGGAGAAACTCGGTGGGCCAAGATACACACAAATGTACTACGCTAAGCAGGGAATCATAACTGAAGAGATGGCATTTTGTGCTGCTCGTGAAAATCTGGAGCCAGAATTTGTGAGGTCAGAGGTTGCTCGTGGCCGTGCAATCATACCGTCAAACAAGAAGCACCTAGAGTTAGAGCCAATGATAGTTGGAAGAAATTTCTTGGTGAAAGTCAATGCTAATATTGGAAACTCTGCTGTTGTGAGTTCTATCGAGGAAGAAGTACATAAGCTTCAATGGGCAACAATGTGGGGTGCTGATACCATTATGGATCTCTCAACAGGTCGTCACATTCATGAAACTCGTGAGTGGATCCTACGTAACTCTGCTGTACCTGTTGGTACAGTACCAATCTATCAAGCACTAGAAAAAGTGAATGGGATTGCTGAGAATTTGAGCTGGGAAGTTTTCAGAGACACCTTAATTGAGCAAGCAGAGCAAGGTGTAGATTACTTCACCATCCATGCTGGAGTCCTTCTCCGTTACATTCCGCTGACAGCAAAAAGAATGACTGGAATTGTTTCTCGCGGAGGTTCTATTCATGCAAAGTGGTGCTTAGCTTATCACAAAGAGAATTTTGCTTACGAACATTGGGATGAAATATTAGACATATGCAATCAGTACGATATATCCTTATCGATAGGTGATGGTTTGAGGCCTGGATCCATTTATGATGCAAATGACACTGCTCAGTTCGCAGAGCTCCTAACTCAAGGAGAATTGACTCGTAGAGCTTGGGAGAAGGATGTACAGGTATAATTTTGATCCCAGGGTGTGCATCAATTTTGGTGATACTTCTTTGCTCCTCTTTAATACACGGTTGAGGTGATATTGTTTGTGATTGGAAGTAGTTTATTTCTATCATGGTACTTGTTGTATGAATCTTGATCTCTATACATAACTGGTGCCTCTATCTATTGATTGGAGAGTCACACGGTCTTCTTCATGTTCTTTGCATGGTAGATAAGATAGCCGCAAGCCATTTTCCACTAACTGATGCAGTAGTTCTAATCTTCCGTGCTCTCCCTGCAAACGGTGGATATTTGGTAGTTTTCAGTTGCATTGATGGAACTTGCTGTTTGTTTTATGGTCATTTGTTTGTTGGCTTATTATTGTGATTAACAGCATGCTACTTGTTATTCAGGTCATGAATGAAGGACCTGGACATATTCCGATGCACAAGATTCCAGAGAACATGCAAAAGCAGCTGGAATGGTGTAATGAAGCGCCTTTCTACACTCTTGGACCCCTGACAACTGATATTGCTCCTGGTTATGATCACATCACCTCAGCAATTGGTGCTGCCAATATTGGGGCTCTTGGTACTGCACTGCTCTGTTATGTGACACCCAAAGAGCATCTTGGCTTGCCTAATCGAGATGATGTAAAGGCTGGAGTTATAGCTTATAAGATAGCTGCACATGCCGCTGATTTAGCAAAAGGGCATCCTCATGCTCAAGCCTGGGATGACGCACTGAGCAAGGCAAGATTTGAGTTCCGTTGGATGGACCAATTTGCATTGTCATTGGACCCCATGACTGCAATGTCCTTCCATGACGAAACCCTGCCATCCGAAGGCGCTAAAGTGGCACATTTCTGCTCTATGTGTGGACCAAAATTTTGCTCTATGAAGATCACTGAGGACGTCAGGAAATATGCGGAGCAGCACGGTTATGGAAGTGCAGAGGAAGCTGTTAAGCGTGGGATGGATGCCATGAGTGCTGAGTTCTTGGCTGCCAAGAAAACTGTGAGTGGGGAACAACATGGTGAGATTGGTGGAGAAATCTACCTGCCTGAAACTTACGTGAAGTCTATCAAAATCTGAAGGTAATACTGATTTTACTCTTGTTACGTCCGTCATTCTATTGATTTCAATAGAAATGAGATAATGATAAGAAATCTCGTCTTGTGAGACTACGGGCCAATGTCAGTGTGAAATATTAGGTGCAAAATTTCTGCTTACATTTCCCAGTCATGTTTTGTCATCTTTATTAATCTTCAAGAAATCTACATTGCACTTGGTCATCATATAATGAAGAAAAGTTCAGCATGATACATTAGCAAAATCCATATCTAGGGTTTCCTAGCTTTCGTACTCATATTTTACTGTCAGACTCATGATACAAGTGATTGAATTGTTGGATATTCTTGCTTTAAACATCTGTCTTCCAAGTTATTCTAAAATACCCTTGCTAGATGTTTTATGAGTTGAAACGGATATCTGATTGGTGTCCTTTTGCAGGATAACCTAAAAATTGGGAACTGGTTGTGGACTCCATTGGCATCATCCTACTTTGGCTAGTTGAGATCTTCCGGAGGGGTTAGGATCTCCTTCTTAAGCAATAGGTAAGCATGTAGTTCAGTTTGTTAAATAACTTATGACATTGTCCTTGTGGATGAATGTCTAGACTCTAGGTTGTCTTGATTGTCAGTTACGAGAATCCTGTCATCATTATCTATTATCTATTCAAAGTATGCTTTCCTTTTTGTTGACGCAAAAAAGCACCAGGGGTGTCTGTACCTGCCGGCAGCAGCTATTTTGTTAGGATGTTTGGCAGGGCAGGCTGAGAAAGTCCCTTTGAACCTGAACAGGATAATTCCTGCGTAGGGAGCGTGCATTTTCTCTTCCGTTTTTTGTACAGGGATGGAAGTTCATCCTTCATACGGCCTTGCCAATCCATGTGGGACGGGTTTAGCTCCATGGTCAGAACATTTCTCTTGCCAGGCAAGTTGACTAGGAAATGATAAACTCCAACATTTGCTGTGCCTTTTTCCCAGCATACAGTTAGCCAAACTCCCTCGATTTGTAGGTCGTATACTAAAACCATGTCTTCCCCCTCCATTGAGCCAGAATCAAGGGAAAACCTGAAATTATGTATTTGCTCGAAGTAGCTAAGAAGGAACAAGTGCTAATCCAGTTTCTCAAAAGCCTGAAATTTCTTGGTTAAACAATTCAACTTGAGACTTTGATTTTTCAGTTATTAATATAGAATAGGAAGACTGTATGTTGACAGCAAAAATCATACCACTATGAAGTAATCTGGGAATTCTGCAAATCGTGTCAACCCAACAAAAGGTAACGTCTACTTAGAGTGTATGTAGATTTACCAATCGTAGGAAGTGTCTTAAAACGAATTTAAAATGTCATGCTGGGGTGAATCTAAAGATGTCATACTGGAGCAAGAGAAACTAGGCTGATATTTGCCGCAAACGAAGAAGAAAAAAGGGTGCGCTGGGAGAGAGAGAGAGCTTGTACGTGTGCTGAAAGAAAGAGAGCGTTTACCAACATTTGATTTTGTTCAAATGCTCGGGCTGTATCAGCAAGTCTAGTGATATACCTTTCACTCTCTCTTTATTTTTTTTCCCCCTTGAGGGTTGCTTTTCTCATGTTCAGAACCCTCCCAGTGCAACAGATGAATTTTGAACGAGGGTTAAACTTTAGCAAGGAGCAGGGATATGCTCAACGATACGAACATTGGAAACAGTAAACCAAATTAGGCCAAATCCCAACTCAGTTAGGATGGGCAACGCAAAAGCATAGCCCGCAGAAATTTATTGAATCTGCACCATGTACCAGATACCAAGAACCTCTAATGTGATTGTCAAATCTTTCTGGACTTCTCTGTTGTCAAAATTGTTGTCTGTTAAGTTTTAAATGGTCTAGTTGTTCTAATTTATGGTCGACTAACTAGCTATACTCTTTCCTTCTAAATTATATCATCATTACTAAGGCATTCATTTTGTATCACTGTGTTTTTCCTTTTGATTTTGGTTTATCAGTTGTAAGTACACTTATCATTTTCTTACAGGTGGGTCTGCCTGGGACAGGTAAGACACTTTTAGCAAAGGCTGTTGCTGGGGAAGCTGAGGTACCCTTCATTAGTTGTTCAGCCAGCGAGTTTGTAGAACTTTATGTCGGTATGGGAGCGTCCCGTGTCAGGGACCTTTTTGCTCGAGCAAAGAAAGAAGCACCATCAATAATATTTATAGATGAGGTTTTTTCCGCTCACCCTTTCATCTAGCTCTGTCTTTTACCTGTCCATGGTTTCGCTTTCTCTATATATGTCTAGTAAGCATCTTGCTGTCCTAGGTCACATTAGATGATCATTTACGATATTCTTGATTTGCAGATAGATGCTGTAGCAAAAAGCCGTGATGGTAGATTTCGCATTGTCAGCAATGATGAGAGAGAACAAACATTGAATCAATTGCTCACAGTAAGGTTTTAGGAAGGTGTTGTTCCTGCTTGACAGATATATTTTGCTTGTTTGGGTGGATTAATGGGTTAGAAATTTGCTGCAGGAAATGGATGGATTTGACAGTAACTCAGCCGTGATAGTTCTAGGAGCAACTAACCGGTCAGATGTCTTGGATCCAGCGCTTAGGCGGCCTGGGAGGTTTGATCGTGTGGTTATGGTTTGTAAAATGTTCCTATGCTATATTTTAATACTAGGTTGTTGAAGTTTAACGTAGACCTACCATTAGAGTTGCCTCAGAAATGAGTCATTAGGTCATATTTTCTTTTGCTTCAGGTGGAAGCACCTGATAGGACTGGAAGAGAAGCCATTTTGAAAGTTCATATTACTAGGAAAGAGCTTCCTCTTGCAGAGGATGTTGATATTGGTGATATTGCTTGTATGACAACTGGTTTCACTGGGTAAATCGTTCTCCTTTTCTGATTTAATTAGGATTTTGGACATTCTCGTTCTGTTGTCTAACTAAATTTGTCAAAACTTAGAAACTGATGTTCTATTTTTGTGCATTGTACAGGGCAGACCTTGCAAACCTGGTAAACGAAGCTGCTCTGTTGGCTGGAAGACAATCAAAACTGGTTGTGGAGAAAATTGATTTTATTCAAGCTGTCGAGAGGTCAATAGCGGTTAGTTGTTTCCTGCTGTCAGCCTTTCTCGTGTACTTTTGGCTATGTTAGTGAATAACAAAATACGGTACCTTGGCTACCTACACATGTCAGTCTATGCTTGGCTTGTGCCTGTCTGTTTCTCTTCCTTGGCCCTGGTAGTGGGGAAAGGGATATGCAATCAGCGCCTGCTGATTTATTATATTTCACTGAGTGTGATAGTGGTTAATTTTAGCACTAATGTTGAGCTGTGCTTTCTTTGTTGTGAGATTATATAGTCTTATGTCAATCTTACAGGGAATTGAAAAGAAGACTGCAAAGTTACAGGGTGGTGAAAAGGCTGTAGTTGCTCGACATGAAGCTGGTCATGCAGTGGTTGGAACTGCTGTTGCAAATCTTCTTTCAGGACAGCCGCGGGTGGAGGTAAATGTTACAGTAGTACTGTAAAAGTCTCTCCCTCGAAAAAAAATTTGTGTATGTCTTTGTGTCTGTGCCTGTGTGCCAATTTCCTTTTCTGTGGGACTCCTCAGGTGCGTTAGGTTCTGATAAGCATTTTTGTTTTTCAGAAGCTGAGCATTTTGCCAAGATCTGGAGGGGCCTTAGGGTTTACATATATTCCTCCAACCAATGAGGACAGATATTTGCTCTTCATTGATGAGTTACGGGGACGTTTGGTTACTCTTCTTGGTGGACGTGCAGCTGAAGAGGTAATATACTCGGGACGTGTATCTACTGGTGCACTTGATGACATACGGCGAGCAACTGACATGGCTTACAAGGCAGTTGCTGAATATGGTCTGAATGAGACCATAGGTCCTGTTTCATTGGCAACTCTTTCTGGTGGTGGAATTGAAGATGCTGGGTCCATGCCTTGGGGAAGGGATCAGGTCCTCCAGATTGTACATAAATTTTTGACATTTTCTAGTCTTGCTCTACTTCTAGCTGAAATTCATTTTCTTTAACATCAACAGGGGCATCTTGTTGGACTTGTCCAAAGAGAGGTTAAAACACTGCTGCAATCTGCTCTCGAAGTGGCACTCTCAGTTGTGCGTGCCAATCCTACCGTTCTGGAGGGACTAGGGGCCAAGTTGGAAGGTGCTTTCGTGAATTTTTTTCCTTTATACTTATAGAATTTGTATGAATATGCCGACACAAGTTATGATCAAACCATTTCACTATATTAACTCAACTAATTGATGCAGTGAAAACTTAAAATGTGGAAGGGGGGAGGGAAGTAGGAGATAATGGGCTTTTTTTTTCACACGTGTGTGTGTGTGAATCCGTATTTTTTCCAGGCTTGAATTAAAGGGTGGGTGGGTGGCAGTGTTGGGAAGGGTAAGAAATTTGCGCTGTTTTTCACTGGCAAGGTGTGAGAACTGCTAGGTATACTCATGCCAAAAGTAAGTGTCATTATTGTGAAGGGATGGCAGATGCTAAATAGTTTTCTCGATCCTTTTTTTTCCCCTTCTTCAGAAAAGGAAAAAGTGGAAGGTGAAGAGCTGCAAGAATTGTTGAAATTAGTTGTTGCGCCAGCAGAGCTCACATACTTTGTTAGGGGCAAGCAAGGGTCACTTCTTCCACTGCAAACAGGTCCTCGATGACAAAAGTTGCTAAATCGTGGTCCCTGTATTTGGTTCATGATTTAATTGATCCATTCTCCCATCTCGAGCAGATGAAAGGGTAGGACTTAGTTTGGTTGGAGTTAACTTGCCTGCGCAACCTCATATATTTCCATAAGGTAATTGGTTTCGCTTTAGTTTCCACCCCTGGCCTCCATAATTGTACCCTTTGATAGCTTGTGCAGAAGGCAACCGTGAGATATCTGACTATACCAGGACGGCAGACTGCTCGTGTGTCCTGTATCTATGGGTTGAGAGAAAAGTGGCACATGATTGTCGTGGCAACTTTGTTTAGTTTCTGTTGTACATGCAGCTTTGTTTAATAAGTACTCGACAACTCTTAACTAATGATACCAATGTATATGATGTTGATTCCCCAAGCCATAGGATTGTTCCACATCATCCTAGTAATATTTGAGCAGAACAAGGTGGTGTAGTCAGCAATCTGGGAATAGTTCCTGTAACTGTAATTTGATTATACTTGTTAGTGCACAAAGTTAATGAATCAGTCAATAAAGCTTACTGCGCTTTGTTCTACTTTGTTAAAAGCAAGAAAATGGAAGAAGTTTAGCTGCAGATGAATTACTTTGCAAGTAGTATGAAAGGCTTTTCATCTTCATCTATAAAAGAAATAGATTTGCAGGGGTGGAGTTGATCTCATCGTACTTGCTGACATTCAGGGCTTCTCAGCTCTACGAGAAACAGGTGTACGTGGGGTAGAGCTCTATGATACTTGGCGACATTCACAGGATGGAACTCGTTGCGCGTCAGTGTCAAAATTCGAAGTTTTTGATTCAAAATTCGCAGGTTATTGCAGAAATTTCGCGAATGATCTTATTCACCACCGTATGTATCTTTGATAAGAGATTTCCGGTGGACTATTAAGTCATAATAATAAAATGTGTCTAGCATCCCATCTCTGTGTTTAAGCTGAGACAGGTGGAATCAGGTAGTGATTGGGTGTTCGGATGGGATGGATCCACTCTTGCAAGCCCACATTTTGTTAAATTTTGCTCCCGGTCACCATTTTTAATGAATTTCTTTCAACGGTATAAATAATGTAGAGATTATTATTATGGCTTGTAATGTGCCTGGAAGAAATTGGTGGGGTTCGGGAGCTAAAGCAGAATATATTATTGAACGTGATGAGGCTGGAGATTCAAACACGCTGATATTTTCAGAGGAGACGAAATATCAATATGTTGCTTTCTTTCTGAAGTTGGGTGACTCTCATTGCCAGTGGACGGTCCTGTGGAAGGAGAAAAAAGAAAAAGAAGAGGACTGGAGAAGGTGTGTGGACGCTTGAATTATTGTTGTCCATCGTCATCATGTCATTATCCGTCTGGACGACATCTCTTTGTATAATTTATTACTAAGCCTTGCTGAGAAAGGGTTGTTGAAGTTCTTAATATTTGGATTTTCTTTTCGGACTAGGATATTAATTATATGTCAAATAGTAATAACTTCCACGCAAAAAACAAAGAGCTTACAAACCAAATTTAAACCCGCATTTCTTTTTATATATTTTTCTTTGACTGACCTAGTTTTTCATTTAAAGGGGTACACACATCCGTTGTCTCCTCCACTTTTTTTGAACATAATGATGCGAATTGGGTTTTAATGAGTTCAAATATGCAACGTCAAGTAATTCCCTTTCTCGATCCGAGAAATGCATTGTTAGAACTGGATTGAATTTTAACACTTACTCTTTTTTTTTCTTGCATATATACATATATGTATGCACTAAAATCTCTTTTAAATCGTATTCCTTTTGCACATATTAGACGAATTCAAATAAGAAATAAATTTTGGAATAAGTTCCGCCTTGCCATCACCTTGTCAAGAAGAAAAATTCGTCAATTCCAAACTTTTATTGGGTGTGAGAATATGTTTCTGTTTTATTCATCAAACTTACAGGGATAGGCTCAGGGACTCTTCCTTGGTTGGGCTCCTAGTATAAATATCTAAAACTGCGGGGTCCGGTAGAAAGCCACGTAAGCACTCACTCTTACAATCCTGGCAACGTCGTCCTTTACTTTCCAGTCCTATAAATGGAAAACCCCAAACCCCCACACCACCAAAGACCTCTCATCCGGAGTCTAGGGACTGTGGTCACTCTCACAGAGTGAAAAGAAAAAGGATAAGAAGGCGATCGTACTGTGAGGTTCGTCTTCTTTCAAAAAAATCTTAATTTGTCGTTGAATATCTGCATTTTATGCAAACATATGCAAACGAAATTTACTCCATAATTTTGAATTTCAATAATTCGGTGAAACATGATTTTGTTGAATGTTGTACACTGCCTTTTTTTTTTTTGGTTTAAACCTGTAATATTTTTTTGTTATTTTTTAAGTTTAAACCCGTAATTGTTATATGCTTCTGCAAAATCATACCCAAGAAGATTCTCTGAGGTTTTGTGGCCACTACAGGCCATCATGTAAGTAAGGAAATTAATTGTAAATTGCTTCAGTTATCCCAATTACTGCTGAAAGTTGTATTGTCTGCACCATAACCTTGCTTTTCCGGAGGCGGAAAACTGTCCTGATTATGCAGTTAACGTGTGTATTATTGGTAATTGTAGTCAACTAATTACTGTCTTCATCCATTTTTACTTATTTATATATTTGTGTTGTCCACTATTAGCCTGTTCAGAGAAATGGCTTCAGTGCAAGCTACTTTGACACCAGCTGCATGCAAGAATGGGAACTATTCTTCCCCGATGAAGTTCTCGAATAGCTCCTTCTTGCCTGGGTTTGATGTGACCGGACAAATTACTGGAATAAGGAAGAAGGATTCATGGTCGACCCATCTGTCTGGCGTTAGAGCCACTTTAACATTTGATCACCCTACAACCAATAAGGAGAACTCCAAGCAAAGGAAGCACACTGTGGATCCCAATGCTCCTGATTTCCTCCCTCTCCCATCCTTCGAAGAATGCTTCCCGAGGAGCTCCAAGGAATACACGTGAGTGTTTTGCAAATTCTATGGTATTTGTCAGTGGTCATGATTTTCATATTGCTCTGATTTTGAGATATATTTCTTTCATGCATGTTCAAACTTGTAGGGAGATGACTTGCTAATTTGCATTCCATGTCGTCTATGTATGTGTAATAATGTTTACAATTGACGGTGCAATAAGTATACTTCACAGGGAGGTTATTCATGGACAATCTGGAAATGTACTTAAAGTTCCTTTTCGACGTATCCACCTATCAGGGGATGAACCTCATTTTGATGCTTATGACACCAGTGGCCCCCAAGATATTAACCCCCACAGTGGTAAGGTTATCTGTTACTACTCTTTTCAAGGAATCTTGTTGCTACGCTGCAGCAAAAAGGAGAATGACATATTTTAAGTGTTTTGTCCTTTTGGTAACGTACGTTACTTTTGTCTTCTTGATTGGCCAAGATATCATAGTATCAATTAACCATACATGTGTAAACGGTACTGGTGATCAGGTCTTCCCAAACTGCGCAAGGACTGGGTTGATAGGAGGGAGAAACTCGGTGGGCCAAGATACACACAAATGTACTACGCTAAGCAGGGAATCATAACTGAAGAGATGGCATTTTGTGCTGCTCGTGAAAATCTGGAGCCAGAATTTGTGAGGTCAGAGGTTGCTCGTGGCCGTGCAATCATACCGTCAAACAAGAAGCACCTAGAGTTAGAGCCAATGATAGTTGGAAGAAATTTCTTGGTGAAAGTCAATGCTAATATTGGAAACTCTGCTGTTGTGAGTTCTATCGAGGAAGAAGTACATAAGCTTCAATGGGCAACAATGTGGGGTGCTGATACCATTATGGATCTCTCAACAGGTCGTCACATTCATGAAACTCGTGAGTGGATCCTACGTAACTCTGCTGTACCTGTTGGTACAGTACCAATCTATCAAGCACTAGAAAAAGTGAATGGTATTGCTGAGAATTTGAGCTGGGAAGTTTTCAGAGACACCTTAATTGAGCAAGCAGAGCAAGGTGTAGATTACTTCACCATCCATGCTGGAGTCCTTCTCCGTTACATTCCGCTGACAGCAAAAAGAATGACTGGAATTGTTTCTCGTGGAGGTTCTATTCATGCAAAGTGGTGCTTAGCTTATCACAAAGAGAATTTTGCTTACGAACATTGGGATGAAATATTAGACATATGCAATCAGTACGATATATCCTTATCGATAGGTGATGGTTTGAGGCCTGGATCCATTTATGATGCAAATGACACTGCTCAGTTCGCAGAGCTCCTAACTCAAGGAGAATTGACTCGTAGAGCTTGGGAGAAGGATGTACAGGTATAATTTTGATCCCAGGGTGTGCATCAATTTTGGTGATACTTCTTTGCTCCTCTTTAATACACGGTTGAGGTGATATTGTTTGTGATTGGAAGTAGTTTATTTCTATCATGGTACTTGTTGTATGAATCTTGATCTCTATACATAACTGGTGCCTCTATCTATTGATTGGAGAGTCACACGGTCTTCTTCATGTTCTTTGCATGGTAGATAAGATAGCCGCAAGCCATTTTCCACTAACTGATGCAGTAGTTCTAATCTTCCGTGCTCTCCCTGCAAAAGGTGGATATTTGGTAGTTTTCAGTTGCATTGATGGAATCTTGCTGTTTGTTTTATGGTCATTTGTTTGTTGGCTTATTATTGTGATTAACAGCATGCTACTTGTTATTCAGGTCATGAATGAAGGACCTGGACATATTCCGATGCACAAGATTCCAGAGAACATGCAAAAGCAGCTGGAATGGTGTAATGAAGCGCCTTTCTACACTCTTGGACCCCTGACAACTGATATTGCTCCTGGTTATGATCACATCACCTCAGCAATTGGTGCTGCCAATATTGGGGCTCTTGGTACTGCACTGCTCTGTTATGTGACACCCAAAGAGCATCTTGGCTTGCCTAATCGAGATGATGTAAAGGCTGGAGTTATAGCTTATAAGATAGCTGCACATGCCGCTGATTTAGCAAAAGGGCATCCTCATGCTCAAGCCTGGGATGACGCACTGAGCAAGGCAAGATTTGAGTTCCGTTGGATGGACCAATTTGCATTGTCATTGGACCCCATGACTGCAATGTCCTTCCATGACGAAACCCTGCCATCCGAAGGCGCTAAAGTGGCACATTTCTGCTCTATGTGTGGACCAAAATTTTGCTCTATGAAGATCACTGAGGACGTCAGGAAATATGCGGAGCAGCACGGTTATGGAAGTGCAGAGGAAGCTGTTAAGCGTGGGATGGATGCCATGAGTGCTGAGTTCTTGGCTGCCAAGAAAACTGTGAGTGGGGAACAACATGGTGAGATTGGTGGAGAAATCTACCTGCCTGAAACTTACGTGAAGTCTATCAAAATCTGAAGGTAATACTGATTTTACTCTTGTTACGTCCGTCATTCTATTGATTTCAATAGAAAATGAGATAATGATAAGAAATCTCGTCTTGTGAGACTACGGGCCAATGTCAGTGTGAAATATTAGGTGCAAAATTTCTGCTTACATTTCCCAGTCATGTTTTGTCATCTTAATTAATCTTCAAGAAATCTACATTGCACTTGGTCATCATATAATGAAGAAAAGTTCCGCATGATACATTAGCAAAATCCATATCTAGGGTTTCCTAGCTTTCGTACTCATATTTTACTGTCAGACTCATGATACAAGTGATTGAATTGTTGGAGATTCTTGCTTTAAACATCTGTCTTCCAAGTTACTCTAAAATACCCTTTCTAGATGTTTTATGAGTTGAAACGGATATCTGATTGGTGTCTTTTTGCAGGATAACCTAAAAATTGGGAACTGGTTGTGGACTCCATTGGCATCATCCTACTTTGGCTGGTTGAGATCTTCCGGAGGGGTTAGGATCTCCTTCTTAAGCAATAGGTAAGCATGTAGTTCAGTTTGTTAAATAACTTATGACATTGTCCTTGTGGATGAATGTCTAGACTCTAGGTTGTCTTGATTGTCAGTTAAGAGAATCCTGTCATCATTATCTATTATCTATTCAAAGTATGCTTTCCTTTTCGTTGACGCAAAAAAGCACCAGGGGTGTCTGTACCTGCCGGCACCAGCTATTTTGTTAGGATGTTTGGCAGGACAGGCTGAGAAAGTCCCTTTGAACCTGAACAGGATAATTCCTGCGTAGGGAGCGTGCATTTTCTCTTCCGTTTTTTGTACAGGGATGGAAGTTCATCCTTGATACGGCCTTGCCAATCCATGTGGGATGGGTTTAGCTCCATGGTCAGAACATTTCTCATGCCAGGCAAGTTGACTAGGAAATGATAAACTCCAACATTTGCTGTGCCTTTTTCCCAGCATACAGTTAGCCAAACTCCCTCGATATGTAGGTCGTATACTAAAACCATGTCTTCCCGCTCCATTGAGCCAGAATCAAGAGAAAACCTGAAAATATGTATTTGCTCGAAGTAGCTAAGAAGGAATAAGTGCTAATCCAGTTTCTCAAAAGCCTGAAATTTCTTGGTTAAACAATTCAACTTGAGACTTTGATTTTTCAGTTATTAATATAGAATAGGAAGAATGTATGTTGACAGCAAAAATCATACCACTATGAAGTAATCTGGGAATTCTGCAAATCGTGTCAACCCAACAGAAGGTAACGTCTACTTAGAGTGTATGTAGATTTACCAATCGTAGGAAGTGTCTTAAAACGAATTTAAAATGTCATGCTGGGGTGAATCTAAAGAGATGTCATACTGGAGCAAGAGAAACTAGGCTGATATTTGCTGGGAGAGAGAGAGAGCTTGTACGTGTGCTGAAAGAAAGAGAGCGTTTACCAACATTTGATTTTGTTCAAATGCTCGGGCTGTATCAGCAAGTCTAGTGATATACCTTTCACTCTCTCTTTATTTTTTTTCCCCCTTGAGGGTTGCTTTTCTCATGTTCAGAACCCTCCCAGTGCAACAGATGAATTTTGAACGAGGGTTAAACTTTAGCAAGGAGCAGGGATATGCTCAACAATACGAACATTGGAAACAGTAAACCAAATTAAGCCAAATCCCAACTCAGTTAGGATGGGCAACGCAAAAGCATAGCCCGCAGAAATTTATTGAATCTGCACCATGTGCCAAATACGAAGAACCTCTAATGTGATTGTAAAATCTTTCTGGACTCAAAATAGAGCAAGGACAGCCAAGCCAGGAAAAGGAAATGGTCCAAGGAGAGAGGCTTAACGGTTAACAGGTTTCTTTTTTTTTTTTTTTGGAAGGACGGTTAACAGGTTTGATGACACAGAAGATGGGGCAACGTCACACAATGTTCAGTTGACTAGCCAACTCTAAAACCTTAAATTTTTTTTTTTTGGGATAGAATAACTCTAATTCTTGTTACTTCAATCTAGCCCGATCCCAGTAAACCACAGATTGTAGTCTCACCAAGCCATTCAACATTTATCTTCAATGCTTGCATACACAATAAAATAGATATAGCACTTATTTCAAAGAGTGCCACAGTTGGAAAGCAAGAAGGTCCATAACAGTGCCTATACCAACAGAAATGGAGATCTTGCTACTGTACGGAATCATACAAATCCAATCCAGGAAATGTAATTGTTCTTCAGAAGCTAACCCGGCTAAATTGGAGCAGCAAGCGAAATGGATTCTGAAGTACCAGGTGTGAAGGAAAAAACAACTTAGTTGTCATATCTACACAAAATGAAATGATTGATCTTTTCCCGCGAGGAAGGAATCTAATTTAAGAGCAAATGCGGCAAAAAGGAGAAATCCCTACCCGTTCAAAATACACCAAAAAATACAAAACCAAACTGCCTGCTATTATACATTTGCAATGTCAACGCAAACGTCCTGGTAAATTTGGCAAAATCAGTAGTATTGTTCGCATCCCCCTCGGCCTCAATCATCAGATTTCTCCTCTCCCTCCAGTCCTGAGCATTATTCCGAAGAAAACACTACCATGTTAGAATATTACGGTCTGAACTGAAGTACTCCAGTTAAAGAGCAGCAATAGTACTTTTAAGCACTCAATTACCATGATAATAAATTCTTTTTTTTTTTTTTGCCTTTATTGGGTGAAACTGAAAAGTACTATCATCATCATGAGCAGATGAACAGAAAGGAGCGTAGAAACTCTGATGGCTAATTCGCATAATAGTTCTTATAGAGCATCAGAAATGCATTTAAGAACAAAATGCTAATAAAACATAACCAAAATATATATCAACAAGGAATTGTACTAGTACTTACTTACTATCGACTCAAATCTTCCCAGTAAAGAAAGCAATGCAATGCATACCAATAGAATTATTGACCAAGCACAAATGCGTAAAACCAAATCCACAGCCATTGATCAAGATTATAGCTAACGAGAATTATCGGAGAAAGCCCAACTAACCTTCTTCTCCTACTTCTTCTGCTAATTCTTCCTCCTCCTCATCGTCTTCGTCGTTGTAATCGAACCCATACCTCTCATTCAAGAACTCCACAGCACCACTGGTGAAGACTAACTTTTCAGAATCCAAAATGTCGAACAGATTCAATGTCCTAGGCGTCAACATCTTCAGAGTCCCAATATTCCTACTGGATAACCTCACATTGTCCGAAACCTCAGTCATCAAAAACACTGATTTCTCCTTGGGATCCAAACCCCATCTCCTCATTAAAGCAATGAATTCCTTAGTTTTCGGCTTCTCAAACTTGTCCTCGAAATTTTCAACAACAATGGTATTCTCAACGGCACTACTAATGGCGGTGGAAATCGCGAGTTTTTTTTCCTTTTTATTAATTTTCACCGACCAATCTTTCGGCTTGGGCCCGAAAACCACGCCACCACCGGGGCGGAGAGGGGTGCGCTGTGACCCCCGACGTGCTCGGCCGGTCTTTTTCTGGGGGTAAGGTTTGACGCCTCCTCCGCGGACCTCAGAGCGTGTGAGAGTTGAAGCAGTGCCGCGGCGGCGGTTACGGAGGTCGGTGGTGAGCCCGCGGTGGACGACGGAGCGGGCGGTGTCGAGGGGGGCGGACTTGAGGTTGAGAGTGGTGGAGCCCACCTGGGTGCCCTCGAAAGACAAGATTGGGATAGTAGCTAGCTCGGAGCGAATGAGAGCTTTGGTTGAAGTAGTGCTGGTGAGGGCGAATTGGGGTGGACGTTTGTGGGTGGTTTTACAGAGGAGGCTAGCTGAGTGGTGGTGGTGGCGGGAGGCGGAGAGGAAAATTGAGGAGGAGAAAAATGAAATGGAAGAAGACGGCGTCGTAGTGGCTGACATTTTTCCCTTTTTTGGGGGCGGTGAATGGGTGGCGGATGGGCGGGGGGGCTGTGTGTTTTTGTGCGCGAGTGTGTTTTATCTGCAAGAAGTTTTGGTTGGCCTATCCGTTGTTGCAGTTCAGGTGAGGTGATAATGGAAGGGATGAGTAAAGCGTACAAACAAAACCGAGCAACACGACTTCTTGTATACTTGTGAAATCGTTAAACGATGACCTCTTTGAACTTTTAGAAGTTCTTCATTATACTCCTACTAGTCTTGTACTTGCATTTTTATTGTATCTATATGAAATCGTTCCATAATCTCCTTTTTTTTTTTTTTTTGGGTATGGTAAAACAGAGCACACAAAGGGCACTAATGATGTTCTACCATACCATTATGTCGTAGAAGGTACTTTTGAGATTAACAATTACTATAATTTACTATAAATGGCTTAACAATGAACTTCTGATCTTTTGTTTTTTTTATATATATAGGAAGGTTTAAAAGTAATTTTGAAATTAGAAATAAGCAATTATACCAACAAAATATGTGATAATTAATCGCTGTGCTCTGTTAGAAATGAATTATGATAACAACGATCATGATGCAATGAAATTGTCAATCTACTTAATAATGCCTTATAAAATTTCTTTTATTTTTTTTCGTTTTAGTTGAATCATAAGAGTATTATGATAATAAGACTTCATAATGGTATTTGAGTGATTGTTTTTATTCAAATGAACGCGAAGGATATTGTTCGCATTTATTTTAGGGAAAATGATCGGTTTCATTATTCACATTTCACAAAAATATAATTTTCGTCCCTCACTTTTAAAATGAAATAATTTCGTCCTTGACATTTAAAAACTGAAATTATTACATCCCTGAACCTAAATTTCAATTTGAATCAAATCACCAATCAACCTGATTACAAATTTTGGGGGTGTAATTGGTAGATCATTTGGTTAACTCAACTTGATATTCATGTGAAATTTAATGAATCTAAAAAGAAAAAATAAAAAATTATAACATAAAAAAGAAAGGTTAATCTTTCATACATTATTATTGTATACACTGACGGTTTTATGTACCGCCATATCATTTTAATTTTAATTTAAACACCAAATTTTATATTTATGATACACATATAGATTCGCAAGCGGATATACTAACGGTGCATGAAAAGATTTACCAAAAAAAAAAAAACTCTACTATTCCAAGACAAATAATAGCCTTTTATTTTATAATTTTCTTTTTTTGATTTAATAAATGTCATGTGAATATGATGAAATTGACTGAATGATCTATCAATTCTATTTCCGAAATTTATTACTGGGTTATTGGATGGTTTGATTCAGATTGAAAATTAGGTTCAAATATGTAATAGCTTTAATTTTTAAATGTCAGGGACAAATTTGCTTCATTTTAAAAGTGAGGGACAAAAAGAATATTTTTACGAAATGTGAGGTATGAAATATGTCATTTTCCCTTTATTTTATTCTTTTTCTTTTTTTGAGTTGCAAAGTAATCAAATGCTTCTACGTGTTGAAAGGACAACATTTACTCCGTTGTAATATATATTAAATTTGAGGGAGCTGAGTGTAATTATTGTTGTAATACTCCGAAGCTAGAAGACTATTTCCCCCAAAAAAAAAACTACAAATACAGACAAGATACATATGGAGAAAATTGAAAAAGGCTCGACATCCTTAGATTGCCAAGAGATATTCTAATCAATTAAGTCAAAGCTATTATCCGAGATAGGTAAAGATTAAAAAGTAATAGTAATCTTTTTCTTTTCTTTTTTTTGGGGGGGGGGGGGGGGGGGGGGGAAAGGATGAAGTACAGTAGTGAGTAGTCGATTTCTGTTTTTGCATCTGGCGAGGATTTGTGAACAGCAAAGGGTTCAGCTCCTCTTCTTAGTTTTTTCCGCTTTTTAAAAATAAATCGTAGCATTAACACATCGTTAGGTGTTGTCTGTTTTACACGAATTGTGGGTTTACTGTGGAAAATCTCCGCTTCAGAGGTTTGATAGTTATGGAGACAGGAAAGGCTGAGATTTACCACGAGAAGCAAAGATTGCAGTTCTGCCTTTTACACTCCCTCAATAATCTCTTCCAGGTACTCTCTTGCTTTTATGTCTCCATCCCCTTCCAATTCTGAAACCCCTCCTTTTCCGTATATTATACCTGATATTCGTGTCTCTGGTGTCTGAATTACCGTTTTCCTTTCTGGGATTTTTCCTTCAGTCATGAATCTATGCTTAGTATGCTAGGTTCTTATGAATAAGATTGAATTATGTACTTCTATCCATCCTGACAAACAAGAACCCAAAATGAAAATAGTTATTTCTAGAATGCTACGGTGCAGCCGTTTAAGTCAGGCTTGAATTTTTCTTGACCGTAGCAGGTGAATAGATAGAGCCATGTATACTGATTTTATAAGGTATTTGGCTAGTTGTGATTGAGTCGATCAAAATGTTTTTATTCAGGATAAAGATGCATTTACACGTGCGGATTTGAATGTTATTGCTGAAAGACTTCACATTGATGATCCCAACAAGGGAACATGGACTCCGTTGTCTGCAATTTTTAAGCCCCATCATAATCTGCTTACAGGAAACTTTGACATCAATGTTCTTATTGCTGCACTCGAAGAGAAAGGAAAAAGGGTTGTTTGGCATGATCGGCGAAACGGAGCTTCTACTATTGATCTTGAGGGCTCAGGAAACGAATTAATGGGTATTGTGCTTAATATTCCAGTGAAGAAGTATGTTGGGCTTTGGAGAAGTAGACACTGGGTTACCTTGCGAACGGTTGGAGGTGTTTGGTATAACTTAGATAGTGATTTTTCCACTCCTTATCAGTTTAAAGATACAGAAGAAGTGAGGAATTTCTTGGATTACATAATAGCTGCTGGTGCTGAAGTTTTGCTCGTCATGAATAATGAAAAATGAGCCTTTGGAATTTACGAAGAAAAACGGTTAACTGGTGTTTGTATTTACTTCTGCATATTTTTGCATACTAAAGAGACGTTTTTGGAATGTAAAAGATCAACAGACAGCAAAGTAACAATGCCAATTTTTTTCTGCCAACCCGTTGTAATATCTCTTAATGGACTCACCGTTTGTTTGACATCTGGTGCTGAAGTTGACAGGTCCAAATCAATCATATGCAGAATACTTGTTGAACACTTGTAGATAATAATACATTTGATCGTAAGGTCTGGATGTTGGCATGTGTTTAAAGACAGGATCCATGGATTCTCAAGTAGCCACTTGTCTCGAATAGTCTTCTGGGTTCATCTCCAATGTGAATGCAGTAATGAAGATACCATCTAGAGTTTCAATGTACAGTGACCTGATGTCTTCCTTTGAAAGGTGCACTTATAGATTTGCAAGATTTCTGTGAGTTGTTGTGACATTAGCTATGAACAATGATAGGAGATCTGTAAATGAACATTTTATCTGCTCGTGTCGTATGTATTTCTTTTTCTTAGACTTTTTACAGGTATTCTGTGATGGGCGGCATTGAAATATTGACAATAGGGACATGAAGTTTTGCTGTTTTTCCAGAGGCAGTTTAATAGCACCTTATGCTCTTTAATCTTTGTCGCATGATGGTTGCTCTTAGAGATTAGGTAGAAGATTTTGAGAAACACAACCAAGCCAACCAAAGAACTATTTGCTAATTTTATGAACCGCAATTTTCGTTAACACCACCAGAAAGCATTTGTACCATTAGAGTTGTAGTTGCTAAAGTTCTGGAGTAGCAACCCTGGTAAATTACTTGATTTTGAAAGTTTTTCTTTGCAAGTGTCATCTTTTTATGTTTAGAAGTGTGTAAGGATTATCCTCTGGCATTTGTTAAAAAAATTGACTGCAGTTGGAAGATCTATGTTGAATTATGCCGATTTAGTTGCCGCAATATCTGAGTTATCAGTGAGCTTACTTAAACACTATGTTAAACTTCTGCAGGTTGATTGGTTATTGCCAGGCAAAAAGAAGATATGGCAAAACTAGGAAAACTTGTCAGCTTTATTTTTCGACTGCTGTGGGTATTTCTTTTCTTTTCTTTTCTTTTCTTTTTTTTGTATCCAAAATTCAGAGGCTTCATGCAGGCTTTGATCCTTAAGACATCCTTGCTTAAAGATAAAATGCATGGCTTTGAGCTTTAGAATTCCTTCCAGTGAACTGTGGAAACGGATTACCGAAAGATTGATCAACTTGGCGTTGCCTTTTTCCTGAGAAAAGTGTTTGATTAACTGGAATCACCTTTTTTTGGTGGAAAAACTGGTGGGCTATGGAGAAAAATCCGCACGCAGGTGTGAATTATTTTCAGTTTTCAATTCCAACGCACTAAAATTTTCTTTCCCAGCTTGGAGATGCATTACCGAAAGGTGGATTGGTTGCAAATCTCATTTCTTTAACCCTTACAGTCACAGAAGATTATAAAAAGGTTATTGGCCTCACCTCCTCTGGTGGCATTCTGCTGAAGCCCCACGTTATTCTCTTTTCCATTAACCTTTATCAAATTTTAACCTTTCCTAAACGCCTTTCTATTTTTTGTGTGGCCCATTAGAACTATCAACTTTAATTCTCTCCTCAACTGATTCCAAGATTAGGTTTTTAGTAGTAAATGATTTTGTGACTATTCACAATAGGCCCTTGGCTAGAATTTGTCACATTTAAGGCGACCCAGCACTCCATGTTGCCCACCACCCCGTGTGGGCGACACAGATTTTGCTTCAAGATGGTATGGATGATTTTCTGTTGCTGCTCCAAGTCAGAAGAAAGGACTGAAACAAGAATCATTAAATTTTGCATCATCGGAAACAAATACGAATTGTCACGACTTCTTTCTGGGGTAAATCCAGAACAATATTATCTTTTTCCCCTTCCTTTGAGCCTCGAGTAACACTTTAAAACAAGAAGCAGGATAAACTCTCAAGTTAGTGCAAATCAGAGAGTACACCAGTGATGACTAATCATTAGGCTTTAAATAGATCGGTCATCTTCTTAATCAATGGAAAACACTTGTGCCTCATTAGTAACTGAAAATTAGTGGGATTGCTGGTCGGCTTTGAAGCTGGAGCTCAGATTTGCATTACAATCAATATCTATCCGTATTTGCCAATTTATAGGGGGAAATGAGGGACAGTAAGCCCCTGAAAATTGTCTCCTAGATTTACTTGGTGGATTGAACGTAAAGCATAGCATACCATGATTGGTAAGAGGGTCCTCCTGAGATTCCACAATAAATTGACAGGTCCTCCGCCGAGAACCTTTGAAAATTTTGGTTAGTAAATTTTAATTCGACAACTAATGCAGGCGCAATTTGGCTACATTCAGCAAATCTGGGGATGGTCTGAGCTTAGTTTATGCAATTAAAGCTTAAAGGTAAGAATTTAGGAGGAATAGCTAGAGAGATCATTCTTGAAACTTGTACTTTAGACAGGTGCTATCACTTTTTCTTGACTGCACTGTCTTGACAGTCTGGGAATGCAGTAACCTTTTTTGTCTTTGCGTTCTCACCTTTATTTTCAAGAAACATAAAAAGAAAAGAAAAGTTTATTCTGAACTTCTATAAAAGCACATAACTGCACACTTCACTCCTACATATTCTTGGGCTTGCTCCCTTCTTTCTCTCCGCCTCTCTAGCTCAAACTTCTAGTACTTTTAAAGCTATTGATTCTTTTGAGATGTCCGCTCAGAAAGGCAATGGACGAGCCAACAATGTTGGATCGCATGCTACTGTTCATCAGAAGCCCGCGGCAGAGCTTCAGAAACAGAAGTCTTGCAAGAAAGAAGACAATACCCCGAGGTGTACAAGAAGTTGCAAATTCAGGTTGCCGAGAAAGAAAGAATTATCTCCACTCAAGTATCTTAAACATATTGGTGGTAAGATGTTCGCAGTGCTGCAAATGATGTCTCCTAGAAGATGTTCTCCTAAAGTTACTTCCTCGGAAAGGGCAAAGCCCTCTGTTGCTCCAGTTGATTCTCATCGCGCTGAAGCTATAGATGATTGCATCGAGTTTATTAACTCTTCTTCTTCATTGCCAAGATCAAATTCCACTCTGCAGTAGATGCTCAACGTTTCTCATGAAGACCTTGGGCTATAATTTAGATCCTAGAAAGTTGTGGCTTTATCAAACATATTTGTTCCTCCTGTAATTGCTATTTGCTGATGGCTTTCTTGATGACTTTTTGTAATTGAAACCAGGAGAACCTAAGATTTTTTTTTTTTTAACATTTCTAGGTAAATTAGTAGACTGTAGATTTGAATGCTGCAATAATCATTTGCTTAGTAAGCTGTCTTGCTATGGGTACCTATTTTGAGGCCATGGCCTAATATAAACCATGGTCCGCAGAGTGGTGGTTGAATATTATTGTACAACGGTCAAAGATAAAGTTCACATATAAACACTACTATTATGCTATTCTGTTGCTTTTGATTTCTTTCTCTACTCTTATATTTAGTAGTACTCAAAGAAAATGAATAGGCATGCTTGATGGTGTGGTTTTCAAGTTTTCAACCAAAGATTCATCAACAAGTGATCCCTTCTTGTCGAAATGCATGAGCGGTATGGTTATCATACCTTGCTTACTCTATGCAAACAAATGATTACTCTGCTAGTCGTTAAATGTCAGTGATCTCTTTTCGTGTGAATTCTCCAAGTGTAACTACTACTACTACTATGACCTTTTAAGAGTTACTAAAATTTTGTAGTCCTTGGCATGACGACTAAGAACTGTGGTAGAATCAATCAGGATTGATTATACCTCCGGCCAACAAACTGAACAAAGGGCTTAGCAATAGTGGCAGCAGTGTTGGAGCCAAGAATGGAGAATTTGGGGGGCAGCCACAGACGCGACTGGTTCATTGTACCATTGAGTCATTGACGAAGCCACATGTCACTGTTTCCAGAATCGAAGAAGCCCCATAACATATGTTTTTTAAATCAGAGGATTTTGTGTGGCTGGCTGTCTTCTTTTAAGGCTCTTCTGGCTGTCTTCTTGAGGTCATAGTAGGATGGTAGGCTAAGAATACCTGTCTCGTAATGAATGAATGTCGAAGGCGTCGGTGAAGGGTCCATGTCAGTCGCACATTCAGATGATGAAGACTCGTGTCTGTCCATTTTGTTTGTCCATAGTTAAAGTGGTCACCTACCTAATTAACACCCTTTTTAACATTTGCAGTTGTTGCTGTTGCAGTTCCTATGCATGGGTCAGCGCTCAAAAAATGATCAGCTCTGGAAGTGTGCAGAACAGATGTGGTAACAGTATTATTAGGTTGTCTTTTGTTCTTTCTGCCAGCCGAATCTTCATCTCTGATGGGCGCTTTCTTCTTTCTACTGGTGAAGCATGGACTAAGAATAGGAATAGTTGATCAGACAAATATTATTATACAGCAATCTGTTCATGAGGTCTTCTGTATTATTATTTGTTGTCCCTCCCATCACTAGTTCAGAAGTTCTTGCCCATTTACCGGTTTAAAATTGTTAATCAGGGAAAGTGGGGGTTCTACACTTCTATTCAAGTTTCAATCTAGGAGGTCGGGTTCTGCTGTAGCTTAAGAAATATATAATTAGTAGTACTTTTCTAGGAAATCACCACCGATTAGCTCAGTGAATCAATCGTTAGAAGTGTACCAAATTAATCTCTGTAGTATTTTTATGTACTTGGTCTCGTGAAAAGGAAGTATTTGTAGCCTTTGTTCCACATCGCAGCTTGCCCATGATGTTGCTAAACTTGGCTGGTCACGTAAATTAATTTGTTAATTTAGATTTCAGCAAATTATACTCTTCTTGAAATTGTAATTAGTCCTTGTATCTCAACAAACTCAGGGATTTGACGGCAATTTTAAAGAAATTTGGCATCGATCTTCAGAAATAACTTTGAAAACATTCATTAGCAATTCAATCCAAAATTACATCCCATGTACAGTAGTCAGGGGAAGACTCGTAAAACCTTTCTTACGAGTTTGAATCCTAACCGTTGGAGGTGAAAAGGCAACTGATAATGAAATGTCTCGCATCGAGCCGGAGGGAGAAGAAGGAATAAAATATAATTTTGGACCTTTGAATTAACTTGGATTGATTGTTTTGAATTTGTGAGATTTGGCCATATTACCACTTCATTAGAGAATAGTGGCATATTTTACAAGTCTAAGTCACTGAAAATTTATCTAACGTTTGAATGGACTATAACACAGTATATAAGTGGAGTCATAAATCAAGTGTATTGAAACAGCTGCTCATGATTAATTTGAATAATGCAGTTGTATTAAAACGGCCATTCAGTTAGAAGGAACAAATTATTTTTTATGAAAAAGATTGTGTTAGAATTCCAAAGTATGTTTCCTTTTTTTTTTTCTCAGAAAATTAAAAAGAAAAATTTTTGAATCGCATGGTCTACCAAAATCTTGTAAACCGGGTATATGCATGTAACTAAAAGTATAATACCATTCCATTCCGATTGCTGCCAGTCCAAAGTCAGCCCATCCTTGTCGGCTTGTAAGATTAGTAAACAGCAACTCCGTTTTACTTTCCCAATTCAAACCCCACGCCCTCCTCAGTCCTCCACTCCTCCGACTAGGGTTTAGAAATTCTACCAATTAATCTTCTCAGATAATCATGCTAATTGTACACCGTGCCTACCAAGGTATAGTTTCGTTAACAGGGTTTCTCCCTTTTCCACTTCCGATTATCTGGATCAATTAGCTATCAGTATTCTTCAGATCAAGTTTCTCTGCAATTTAGAACGCTCATTTTTGTTGGCAATTTAATTGGTATAAAGTCCTTTCATTTTTTATTCAAAAGACGTAGTCCCCATTTTGTTTTTGGGTAGTATTGTTATTTAGATAGGAGCGATGGACAGTAAGTTTGGGTTTACTGGCAACGATGATGAGAGTCTATTTGGTGGGTTTTCTTTCAGCAATATTGTTGTTGATGAGCTGAAAAAGTTTGTGAAAGTTGACAATAATAATAATAATGATATCAAGAAAAAGGGTACATGGGAGAATTAGTATGAAGAGGGAGGAAGAAGAAGGTGATGAAGATTTAACAGAAGCTTTATTGATTCAGATGCTCTACGGCAAAACTGGACCGCCTAAGCATGAGCCGCCACTACACCTGTTCCCTCGGATCATGCCATGAAAGGTAGTGCAAAGAAAGAGGGAGTTGACGATAAGGAGCTGAAGGTTTCATGGGCAGAAGATGTCTATGATCCAACTCCTCCATCTGACTGGCATTTCGCGTCCAATAGGACAGAGAGGCATAAGAATGTGGGTAAGAAGAGCGGAAAGAACAGGCAGAAGTGGGGTGGTAAGGGTCTTGGAGGTGGAGAACTGGGAGGATTGAAGGGTGGCAAAGACGAATACAAGAAGGATAAGAAGCGGGGTGGTGGCAGCGGAGGTGGAGGGGGGGAGGAGCTAAAAGTAGCAAAGATAAGATGCAAATAAAGAAAGTATGAGGGGAAGTGTTGGCAGGACTTATGATACACTGAATGGTTAGGAGGGAGGACATTTGGATTCAAGGTGGTGCCGTGGTGGCAGTACAGATGCCGAACCTGATGATGCCTTTTACTGACAGTTTATGTCAAGCAGTAGAACTTAACTCAGAACATTGAACTTAATTAGAAGGATGGAAATTTTTCAAAATTTAGACCAGATCTTTTATTAACTGCGGGTTAATGTTACACTTAGAATATAATTTTTAGTAGTCTAAACGTGATTCCTAGTTCTCTTTATGATGTTCATTGTGCTGTTGCCGGTGGTATCTTATTCAAGTCATCACTCATGAAAGATCATACACCCACTGCATTAGTTTATTAGTGTGAATTCGTGCAATGATTTGTTACGAAATTTTTAAGAGCTTGCGCTATAATATAGAGAATGCCCCAGATGTGCCTTTTATCTTAAAGGTTCAGTGCGTAGAAACCTTTTGGCGGCGCTCATGGACGTAATTATGCCCTGTAATGATTGTTAATCTATAAGAATGATTGAGATTCTGAATTGCTCCTGTCCTTCATGTCATAAAACTAGATTCTCAACTATGATAAGTAGCAGATGCAGCAAAGCAGAAAGCACCAATGACAATCATCTCACGTATCTCACATATTAGTCTGTTCGTTCCTGAGCTTAAGGTTTCTCATCCTGATCATTTGTAGCTGAATCTAGTCTAGCAGGAGCCTCAGCCAGTTTACGAAGAGAGAAAATTACAGTGAGGCAAGTGGTTGGTAGAAAGACATAATTTGTAACTGAATATTAATTTAGCAGGGGCATTAGCCAGCAGTTTAGATTTAGCACCATAAAAACTACAGTACAATTGTGTAACCAAGAAATTACATCATCCAGCAGCGATGAAGCATTAGGCAGTTTAGCACGATTAGAACTACGATTGCGAACTAAGTTTTTGACATATTAAGATTGCTTCTCTTGGCATGCTTAATGCAGACAAAACTCAAAGCTGACATTCTACAAAAACTATGAAGTTTGGCGGCGGTTCAGATACCAGAACTACACTTAGGGGCCGATGGGGTGAACCAGGTCATCCTTCCCAGATTAAATTTTGGAATCAAATTATGAAGAATTACACAACATATAAATTTGATACAATAAAATGGGATCTTAGCGTTTTGGCAGATGTGAAAATAAAATGTAAAAAGTGGCTAACGGAAGCGGTCACTTTTCATCCTTGGAAAATAATCCCCCAAATCCAAAGCCGCCGTCTTTCTTCTTCGGAGGTGGCACGGCTGCGGGATTCTTGCGCCCACCATCCTTTTCCTCCACCTTCTTCAAGATTGGGTCAATTTCCAAGAGCTGATCTTCTTTCTGCAGTCCCCCAAGGATAAAATCCAGCAGCCCCTTCTCCTGGCTACTTCCACCAGAGCTCTTTGCAGCTGTGGCTGCTGTGCACACTCTTCTTCGCGGGACAGTATTAATTGGAGTGAAAAACAAGTTCAAGGACGCCATTTCAATTGGCTCTACTGCTTTTGCGTACTTTGATGATTGAAGTCTGGAGGAGCACAGGAGGGAGACGAAAGAAGCAACGGTTGTGAGATAATATATTCAATTGGCTGCTGTTGGATGGGATTTAGATTGTGAAGAGAACTACAGGTACGTGTTTATGACACGAGTTCTCCACAAGTGGCTTATCCTCATTTGGATCGTTTCCTCTTTACATTGCCCTTCATTTGTTTATTGATGGGGAGGAAAAATAGAGACAGGCGAGAGCTCATCTTCTGCAGCTATGGCTAAAGATTTGACACGTCGCAACCCAATATGATGTGGTTGCCGCATGTTGCTCGAGCACAAGTAATTCGACTTTGGATGCCATGAATGAACTGAAATGATGTCGTAAAGGGCAGCAAGTCATCAGGTTCAACTGTCTGAAGCAAAGCTCAAACACGGACCATCTGAAGGTCGTTTCTGTAATGGATTTATACATTTTGAGCGTAAATCAAATGGAACTTCAAAGGGTCCTACAGCAGTGAGTATGATGAAACTAAAGAGCCATAAGAGTGGCTGTTGTTTTGTACAGAATAAATGCTTTCATGCTATGGAATAAAATTATTTCCAATTTTGAGTTACAAAATTGATTTGTTCCTGCTGTACATTAACGTATACAAGCCTTGTACTTTTCTTTTGGGTTTTTGAGAAAGGCTACGACCATGTCACTTGATAGTCAAGCTTCCTTTGGGCTCAGGCTGGCACAGCAGTGGATTTACAGACAAATAATTCTTCCTGTGCGCCACTTGGACACGAAATTCCAGCGATCATAGGTTTCTCTCGAGCACCTGTTTGCTCTAGCTGAGGTGTTTGACGCTTGAGTCTCGCATCCTCCCACTTGTTTTGAATTGTCTCTTAATCCAATATTTTCTCACCAGTTGAGAAGAGGTTCCACACCACGGTTCCAGCCAAATAAAGGCCAACTGAGACCTTGAAGACATCATCCCATGAACCTAAACATGCGGTTAAATAGCCTGAATCACTTCATAGCGCCCTTAGCTCAGAAAGGAGGCAAAGTAAAACCATCAAGCACTAAAAATGTGGTTTCTAATGAATGCTATATTGTCTTAGCCGGATTCATCATCGTTACTCCACATGAAGGAGTTCGCAAACTAAGAGAAAAATCAATGAGGACATCAACCTGGCTGCCAGAGTTATGTGCATGGTCTAGGTGCTCTAGGATACAGCAATCAGTGAATAGAGTCTGTGTAATCTGGTTTAAGTGATCTACCGTTTATAAGACCTTTCCTCTCGCTTTTAAGGACCACAAGCAAAATGATAATAGAATAACAGTTACGGGTTTCTTGCTTCATGGAGTGATCTAAGAATCAGTTCTAACTACCTAAACTCTTTGAAAACACCATGTACCTACGAGTCCAAGAGATTCAAAGTTTTACAATGTAAAAGGTTGAAATAATACCATGTTGCAAAATGTAACCAGTTGCTGCTGTTCCAAAAACACCAGCCAGCACTCCCGCAGTATTTGATAGACCGAGCAGCACCCCCTACAAGGTTAACATATAAAGTAGAAAAAATGGAAACATTAAGCCGACTGCAAGAAGGGCAACCCTTTTTTTTTAAGAGGGGGGAAAGGAAGCAATTGGAACCAAGTAAGTAGCTGTTGATAATGCTACCAAAAAACTCATGCTAAGATAATGAGAGAAACCTTTCAACTGCCATGTAATCTATATTGTCAACATACTATCATTAGGCAAATAGCATAAAATTCAAACCCTAATTTGTAGTTCAAGTGCCTTTAGTTTGATGCATCCCTGAAGTAAAAACTAGGATAGCTGGGAGCAATATGTTGGTGGTAGGGCCATATTATTTCTGTTACTTGCATCAAGCTTTTAGTTGAGTTGCCTTTAACTTGATGAAGTTTGATTGAACTAAAATAATACTTACAGAATAGCGAGGGGCAATATCTTGATGATTGGAATATAAACCAGATTGTGAAAAAGCATCTGTACCCTGTTTAAGAAATGAAATGGAAACAGAAAAACAAAACAGGTTAATGAATATTGCAAGATGGCAAAAAAGATAACAAGCACACAAAAGGTGAAAAAAAAAATGCACATATGCTTAATCTGTGTGTGTGTGTGGGTGTGTGTGAGAGCGAGAGAGAGAGGAGAGAAGAAGTTATAATCATCAACTTCAGATACTATAAATTCCACAATGATTATTTGGACAATTAGCTTAAGGACTGAAATCCACAAATTCTTCAAACCGAACTTAGTTTCGGAAGAAGGATCGAATCCCAAGTCCTCCTATGCAAAAAGATAGATATAATTAATGTTTGAGTCATTGTATGGTATTCACAGACCTGACTGCAGGCCATACACAAAACTGCCATTGCAGGAGAATCAACATGGTTTAACTGAGTCAGGAAAAATGCAGGGCCAAGAAATCCAATCGTCTGCATTATCTGCACGAAGATCTCAAAACATTAAATTAGTTCAGCCAGTGAACTTACAACTAAAAGAGACTAATCTAGCTGCACTCAAGTGCAAATGCCACAGTAAGGCCAAAGCAACTTTGAAAAAGATTGGACCTATCATAACCAGCCTCAGTGGATGTAGCTAAAATAAGTGGTCCAGCATGTACATATCTTCACAATTTAGACTTTGCACACCATATGATTGTGTTGACAATTTACAATTCGTCATCACCAGCACAAAGTATGCCAAAACCAACGTAATAAATCACAATGAGTTAACCATAAACATTAGTCAGTTCAACTACATGCATAATACTTCACCTTTCTAACAATGGTGACAGATACACCTTTGCTCACCAAAGAATCAGCAATCCACCCACCAACGTTTGCCGAGAAGGCCATGGTAAGCCAAGGCAAGACCGAAAACATTCCAGATTCAGTAAGATTAAACTTCAACACCTGTAACAGAATTAAGAAAACAATAGCATTTCCAGTCAGTACGATCATATGGTTTATTAAGCTGTTATTAACATGAAAATTGGTGAGTATCGTGATCTTCATTATCTAGAAGAGAATTCTAGACTTACTGTGAGCAGTAATATGAAATCCAAAATTATTTCAAGAAAACAATGACAAAAGAAACTGATACTAGGAGCATCAGCATCATTTCCAAGTGACGCGTGAAGATATCATTATACTTTTAACACGTTAGGCTATGCATGTTTTCATAGTTCAAAAATAGTACAAACAAGGAGTGTGAAAATAATTAAAAAGAAGAAGAAGAAGAAGAAGAAGAATTGAATAGACAAGGGAAAGGAAGTGCAAAGGAACCAATGGTTGAAGGTAGAACTGCATAAACTTTTACTAATTTCAGGATTTAACAAGCAAATCGTCTAGAATGCAGAGCTGCCAATTTACTATCCTTTCAGTTTTTTCTTGTTTAGAGAAAATGTCATATTATACTAACCATCAAAAGCTTAAGCTTACAAATCTAGAGGTCAGGTGAGAAATCAAACTCGTAGAGAACTATATCATGGTAAACTTAGAAGAAGTCCTTAAAGCTGTAGAAGCTATAGTTGAGGAGGCCACAAATGAATGTGGCTGCACCTGGTGATAATATGTAGGCATCCATGTGAGAAGAATAAATGTTCCCCAATTGTGACAGAAGTGAGAAATTATAAGGGCCCACACAGGAGATTTTGACAAAATTAATCTCCAAGGTATAGATTTAACAGGCTCCTTGCATACGCTATTGCTGAGAATCAGCTTCTTTTCATCAAGCCGCAACCCAGGATCGTCAAGAGGCGTACTGTGTGCCTATATCAAGAACACAATTAGTCGAGTCCGAGAGAACTACGAGAAATAATACTAGTTTTTCAGAAGAAAGCATCCATTATAACACGCTTGAGAAGCACCAACGATAACAAAAAGTTCAACTTTAGATCTCAAAAGTTACCTTATTTAGCCACACTGCAAACCAAACTGTGCCAAGAGAACCAAATGAATAAAATACAGATGGCCAACCAAACTTATGTATTAATAATGGTGAAAAGGCCAGGCCAGTTACAGATCCAAGATACATTCCACTATACACTAGAGCCAATGATCTACTTCTCTCTGCTACTGGAACCCACCTTGACAGAAGATTATTCATAGCTGGCATGGCAACACCCTGCAAAAGAAGCCCCAAAAAAGTTACATTCAGAATTCAATTAGCCATTTTAAAACAAATAGAACATCCCAAAATAACACAATAAGACAAGTTAAAGATATCATCCCTTGGTTCTTGCAGAGATACAGATAAATGAGGGTTTCAAGTGCATCCTTGCAGACTTCGTTTCACACACCGAAAATACAAATAAACTTTCAATAGGAGCAAGAATCTGTAATGAAGGACAGACCTCACCAATTCCCATGATGGCACGAGTTACAAGTAAAAAAGGCAACCCAAGCCTTGCTGCAATTGGTGTTACAGTGGTGGCTATGGACCACCAGACCACGCCAAATCCCAAGACAAACTTCCCACCTACAGTGTCAGCCCACATACCTCCTGCAACCTGAGGTGAGGATTTGAAGATGCAATGAATGATATGGTGGAACAACTTACTTATATCTAGAGTATATAAGGCAAGTAAAATTAAAAGTACCTAGTATGTAATAGACAAGATTGCCTTATCTGCTTTCAATATGATTAAAAACAATTAATGCTTCAGATGACTAGCTTTTAAAGTACGGGATATCTAAGAGAATTCTTTTGGTTACCTGAGTGAGAAGATATCCCCAGAAAAATGAAGATTGTATTAAACCCACTGTTGATGGACTCCAGTTGAACTCTGAGGCCATCGGAAGTATAGCAATACTCATATTTACCTGTAAAACAGAATCTGCTTAAAGTTCCCAACTGGAAATTTCAACTCCATTAACTCAATACACATTCATTCTTTCCTTTTCTCAATGCAGGAGAAAACCCTTTGACTTCTACATGGCAAACATCACAATATTTGATTGGGGAAAACACGTGTATGCTATACTCAAGGAACTTTTTAGAAACTTCTTCCAAGAAAGGCCACAAAGCCTTGAGGCCAATTTGAATGTGTGCACACCAACTTATTTTCTATTTGCCTTCTCATATTCTTGGAATGTAGTCCAACTTAAACATCAGGTTCAAGATCCCCTAGCTTTTGAAGAAGATAGTCCTCTTGATAGCATGCACGTGAACTAGAAGCAAGTTAATAAAGGGTACTTACTCAAGAATGAAATACTACCACGCATGAAAACAAAAAACAGAGTGATACTCAAGAGAGTCTCATGAAAATAGAAAGTCACAAATGGATTGTGTTACTAATCAGCAAACACAGACTCGGCAGGTACCATATTTACACTCAATGCATTCTCCTTTGCTTGTTTTCCCATCTTTTCCACTTACCAATAATCGGAAACCAAGTGCCCAGTTTTTAACAGATAGCACACAGACAGGCAGACAGCAATTAACATATGCATAAGTATAATACGTTCAACAACATACAAATTCACAAACAAAAGTTCTATATCAAAAAATTTTAAAAGGCAAAGGACATGGTTGTCCTTGCAGAAGCTTACTCTATCCATGTTGCAAAGCAGAAAAGCCGAGAAACAGAGAAGCACGATCACCCAACGCTTTGGGAACTGCTCCCACCATCGAATTTCAGCAATGTCGACAATCTGTCCATCAACAGCGTCGCCATTCTTCAGTGCGGCGTCGTTGAAAGCATCCTGAAACTTTAACGACTCTCGTTCGGAGTCCGCAACATCGTACGGCTTCGATTTCAAGTCCGTCCACACCCTCCAGCTACTCTTTCTCCCTACTACTACGCCATTACTGCTACTTCTACTTGAACCTGAACAAACATGCACAGAAGAACTGGCGCGGTTCAAAGGGTATATCGGTAACTGCAACTTGAAACGGGCATCGAAGCGAAAACTGGAGCTCCAAATTCGTCTTTGAAGTTGAATTTCGGGTGAATTATGGTAGCTAGGTGGAGAGTAAAAGGAAATGACAGAAGCTCCTCCCGCCGTCATAGCGATGGAGCTTCTATGGAATTTGTTCAGGGACTCCTCCTCAGCTGTACAAGTTTCTGTGCGTGTTTTACGGGGTGATTTTTTTTGTGTTGGGGGCTGGAGCCTCGAGGGGAGGAGGATCGAGATCTTTTTGAAAAAAAAAAATTTTTTTTGTTTGTTTCGAAGAAGATTATTGGCGGAAGGATATGTAAAGCAGGAAGAACGGGAAAGGCACAAATGCCCCGGATATTTACGGGCACTGCTCATGAGTTGGACACGTGTCACAGATAATGTGGATTCGGATAAAGCAATTTCTCCGGGACGTTGGCCTTTTTAATTAAACGACGTCGCTAGCACCATTTCTTCTGAGAGGAGTTACTAGCCCAAACCCAACCACCATTATAAGTTATTGGGCTTCTCTTCAAACTGCAACGTCAACAACCATTTTAAAAAAAAAAAAGCTGTTGGGCTTTTCTCCTGATTTCGACCCTGATGAACCAGCCAATTTCCAACTCTATTATAAACAAGCGAGTGAGATATTTAAGCCCATATGCTAACCACCCAAAGTTACTTTTGTTCATGTTATTGTTATCCCCATAAAAAAATTAATTTTTTTTTTGTTTTGTGTGAAGCTTATCCCCATTATTATTATGCAGTTAATGGATTGATGCAATTCATCCGTGTCAAATTAAGCTTTTGTAGGACATAGAAGCAAATATTGTTGTTATAAAACGAGTTCCTAGCTAGGGGTGCCAATATATATAAGGTGGCACATGAATTAGTTTTTAATACTAAAACTGATACCTTATGGAATTCCTATGAAATTCCCCACCCAGCTAAGCTAAGCTAAGCTAAGCTAACCAATTCATGTTGATTAGACTCACAACTTTATTCATCAGCTTTGTTATATATAAAAAAAAAAAAAAATTGGTTAGTAGAGATATTGATCAGATAACTGTAATTGTTTGGATAGAGTATTATTTGAAATATTATTTGGAATAATTACTGTAGCACTTTTTGTGATGTGATGTATGTGAGATAAAAAGTTGATTAGAAATATAAAAAGGTCGGTTGGGAAATGTGTTTATGATGAAAGCGAAATATTATTTGGAATAATATATGTATCCAAACACTCAACACTCCCGTGATGTCCCTGATTCGATTCACAAGCTCTCTCTCTCTATTGTGTGTCATGAACTTTCATGAATGTTGACTCCTAAAATCGCTAAACTTGGATATGGCACTCATTGTTCTTTAGCTGCTAAAGCTAAAGTCTATTAATGAAGCTGTAGCTTGAGCTATCGAAAAATTTTCTTTTTGGTCCCTCGTGTGTTTGATTTTATAATCTTCTACTGAATTGTTGAAGTATCAAGGAGATCAAGCTGGACTGTTGAAGTAGGGTTTATGTTAATCTCACAGTAGCTTAATTGAGATCCGTTGAGCTCGACTCATAGATTTCGATCGCTACCCACCCCTTGACATCCTATAATATATAACTTCAACATTTTGTAATTGACTAATAATTATACCCCATCAAATAAATAGGGAAATGTTAATCGCATTCTAGTTTTTGTTAATCATATTTTCACTATCATTCTTATCATATGATCTTCATGTATCAAATTGAAACATGAAGTTTAATGAGGAAAAAATCAGGGAAATTAATTATCCCATTTGGATTGCTATTATCAAAAATTTTTATAGAAAAATATACTGTAGCGATTTGATGTATGTGAGATAAAAAGATGATCATAAAATGTGTTCACAAATAACGTAAAAATCTTTTGAAGGAAAATGCTTTATTGGTTTAGTTATATGTTATAAGTAGCTAAAATGACCTGTGCTTTGCACAATCAGAGGCAGCTGCTGGCGTTTCTCAACTTGCATGCCTGAGCACATACCCTCAAAGATCGTAATTAGATCTTTGCCAGTAAAAGGGCTGAAATCAAGGGGAAGCATATGTATGTTTGTGAACTTTTACCGAGGAAGAGATAAAGTTGTAAAAGTGCTTACGAATATATATATATACATACAAAGGTTCCAAGAGTACCATGACTGCAAAACGCCAATGCTATAAGCCAAAACATTCCATTAAATTCATGTCCATGCCTCATATCTGTCACCGTGTCGTACAAATCTGACCACAATGCTACAAATCTAAGCAATTAGCCGACACTTCCATCACTGTTCTCACCCTGTGGCCCGTGCACAGTGGAGGATTCTCAACAATTACAGCCACTACTGCCAGTATCTTCTTAATTAAATTCAGAGGAAATACAGTTTGCCTTAGACAAATACAATAAGAAAACTAGCCTTGCAAAAAGCCAAGAAACTTGTGGCTCACTCATTTGTTCTTCCTTTCAGAAAATTCTGAGACACCCTTTATTTCCAGGGGTCATGTCCAGTTTGCCAATAGCAAGAAACAGAAGACAACAAGAAATATAGTCTCATAACCACACTTGACAGTTGATACACTGCTGTTTAATTGCCATACTTAATGCCTTAAACAGCACTGGTTCACTGCCTACTTTCTTCACCCTCAGTCTGCAGCAGCAGCAGCATCCTCCTCCCTCCTCATTTACCCAACAGGACAACAAGCTCAGCTGTCCAGCCGATGCAGTCTTGTAGGGACCATAGATCAGAGTCAAGACATCCGTGGATTTTTGTTTAGCTTGATGTATTACGCGGGTCTGACCATTTTGTGTAGGGGGATCCATTCAGGTATGGTCCACCCGGCCGGTTATGATCTTTGGTCATTATCACCGCAAAACTAGATAAAGCCGCGACCAATTTGAATATGTGGGGAAATTAATGTTGTTATCCACTACGAACATGACCTTTGGGGAACCAGGACATGGTTCTTTGATCATGACTTGCTGGCTCGTTCTCACCCAAGTATATTTTTTTCTACAATTAATTATTTGCTAAATTTATGTACTTGCAGTAATGAATTAATATGATAAGTGTGCAACTTCTATCTCTTGTCAACCAGCGGCTGGCTGTTTCCTGCGTCTTTCTCTTTTTGTGAAATGAATGGAATTTCGAATACATATGGAAATGGAACGCTTAGTAAGAGATTAATATGATACTATATCATGTACTGCGCGCAGGAAGCCTGCGACTTGTATCTAAAAGGTCCACCAATTGTCCAAGAATTTCTCTGCTCAGTTACATATCAGAAGTTTATGAGGATTCTGGATACTTTTGCATTGGAAGATAGGAAAGGCAACAATTTTGAATCCTTATTTTTTTTGAATCACTAATTATTCAAATATTTCATTATTCTGTACTTATCCCTAAATTTTAGTTTTTTAAGATGTCAGACGATTAAAATTTAAGCAATTTTTATTGAGACGACTTTTAATACTACTAAAATCCTCTTACATTATGTTAGGTTGTAGTTAAGACAATTTCTAATTCTATACATTTCACATAAACAAAGGCTCGCATCCATAATGTAGATCCCATCAAAAGATTATTGATCGTTTTACAGTAAATTATGACGATGGTCACGATGCCATTAATGAAACATTTTGCAAATCACCTATACTAATTCTAACTCTTCCGGAATGAAGTTATTTACGCTTTATTTTATTTACCATTGAAATTATGGCATGCAAAATGGTTGTCCTCAAAACTTTAGGCACTATCAAAAGATTATTGATCCCATCAAAAGATTATTGATCGTTTTACAGTAAATTATGACGATGGTCACGATGCCATTAATGAAACATTTTGCAAATCACCTATACTAATTCTAACTCTTCCGGAATGAAGTTATTTACGCTTTATTTTATTTACCATTGAAATTATGGCATGCAAAATGGTTGTCCTCAAAACTTTAGGCACTATTTTTTCGAGGGATTGGGAGAGAAAGAAAAGGAAAGGAAATGGAAGGATAAGGTTTTTGATGTTTGGATTGGTTTTTAAGGACGAAAAGAAAATGATTGGGAGGAAAAGAAAGAAATAAAGTTTAATTATTTTTTATCAGCCTATTTTCCGTCCGTCCAAAAGCGGATGAAAACAGAGGAAAGATTAATGAAAATTCTAAAATTTCCTAAAAAACCTATCGCGTATTTATAAATTAAACTTTTAAATTATGGATAGAAATGTGCATGATAGTTTTCTTTCGTTTCCTCGCGTAATCCAAATACTCGGGTTTTTTTTTTATTATATTTTTCTTTCTTTTCTTTTCCACTAGGCCTCTTCTTTCCTTTCCTTGCCCCATCCTTCAATCCAAATGGTGCCTTGCAGTTCCTTCCGTTTTACCCAATACTAATCCTCTTCTTATAAGCTAGGACTTGCATAAAATAAAGGGAAGACACAAGATCACGAATGATACAAATGATGAAAACTGTGGTGCTGGTGGTGTTACTGGTAGGCCTGTGATGTCCTTCCTCCTTTCCTTTGCCACGTAAACTCGGATTGATTAACGGGCCATGCGTCCACTTACACGTCCAAATGGGAAAACAAATGCATTATTCTAAGTCTTTGAAATCATGTCACCAACACAAAAGGTAAAGAGAACCACCTTTGATCAGTAGTAAACAGGGATTAATCTACCCATTGTCGGCAGCTTTCTGCTCTGTCCAACCAAAAGAAGAGAAAAGGGATGTTGCAGGCTACAGATAAAGCTCCCAAAGGAAAACAAAGTTGTTCTAGTTGCTAAAGAAAGCTTCTAGCTATTTTTTCACTTTGGCTTATAATCAAGTTTTCTCAGGTCTTTTGCACTGTCGTTGACCTTTCTTTTCTTTTCCTTTTTTTTTTTGCTTTTGGATGAAAACTCATTATCGCTTGGCAACTGACTATAACTGCAATTCTGCAACTCCAATTCTCGCAGTCAAACACCAATTCTGAGGATTTTGGAGGGAAAGTTGGGAAACTGTTGAAATGGTATAATAATATGCAGACCCCATAATTCTGGAAATCTTTTCCTCAAAGGTGGTCAGGAAAATACTTCAGTACATCCAAGAGATTCTTTTTTTTTTTTTCTCTGTAATTTCAGGGACTTGAATGGGAGACAATGGGGTTGGAGAAGGATTGTCTTAGGCCCGCGAGAAGATTATCCCATCGGTCAGCTACACAAAGCATATATACTTCGGTCCCTTCCTTCCAAAAGGAAAAGTTATATGTTATGCTAGTTGCGTTGAGAAGCATTGGGTCCACGATGCATGAGATTATGAGCATCCGTACAATTCATTTCA